TTAGACTTTTAGAATATAATTCATGTCCAATTGGCATTTAGGTAGTTATATACTCTTTAATGCACCTCCAGGTCATCCGTTGTTTTGGTTTGAATATGTTTGGCCACTCTGACCTTGATATGAGAAAGTCCTGACGTCATGATGGAAGTTGACGCTGAAGAAATCTAATTAATGAAAAGCCACTTACGAACAAGTAAATACTGAAAATACCACAAAATAATAATTAAAAAAAAAATGGAAAAGTTACGCTCTCCAAGGTGCTTCAATATTTGAAAGACAGAAAGTGCTGATTTTCATGTTAATGTAATGTTATAAATATTCACAGTAGAATCAGGAAGGAGAACTTGTTTCTGCTTTCATAAAAAAGTTTGTTTTGTTTGTACTTTCAGGTCGTTCGGTTCAAAATACAGCTTACTACCATAAGGAAAGAAATTACGGGCTCAGAGGCCTTTCTCCAAGTGTAAAAAAATCAGCCGTAGCCAATGATAAAGTTGAGACAACTATAGCATAGAACACTGTTACTTGTTGTGAGATGTAGTATTACCAGAGAAGAACAGCAAATGAGACCAGCCTATTAACAACACAAGTTGTGTATAGATCTGGATTTTATAGGGTTGGCAGTTGTGGGTAAGCTATGTAGAAATACTCTTCTGTGCTGTTGTGGAGTAAAGCTAATGCATTTGTTATGTATAATCTTTCCTTATTATATTAGTGCTTTTCTAATGTGGTTAAAATTGGAGACAAGAATTACAGGCAATAATGATTTTTAACTGTGGCAAATTTATAGGGACACCGTGTATAGCTTTGCCAGCAAAGTAACTCCCTTTGTTTGTACGTCCTTTCCTAACGATCTAGTCACCTGTGTTAGGGCAAGGTACATTCTGGTTTTAAAACAAACTCTGAGAATTTAAGAACATTCAGCTCTCCCTGTCCTTGGCTGAATTGCAGCGAGTGATTTATGCTTCAGCCAGGCATGGAAAAGAAATAATATTGCTTTTAATTACCATTCCCATAATATAAAAAATAACAATGAAAAATAGTATGTAGAATAAATCTTTTATGACCATTCAAGTGCAGTTAGGGCATATTTCTCATTAATGTCAGTAGGGATTTTGCTCTTGCCTTTGAATATAATATTCTTAGGCCTTTCATTATTGACGAGTTTTAACTGGAGAGTATGTGAATATCTATGTATATCTGTCTATGCAGACACTTGGATGGCTTTTACTCTAAGCTAGAAGTGTGCTATGAATGCAGTTTTGCAAAATAAAGAGAGATTTTTTTTTCATGTTTTTTGACGGTTTACACATGGAGAAAATTGAGACATTGCAGAATTGTGGTAAGCAAAGTGTTAAGTATGAAGGTTTTACATGAAATTGCAGGCGCAATCCAGGAGGTTCCTACAGAGCATCGATGATAACTTTCTGATGCAAGTGGTGGAGGAACCAACAAGGAAAGGCGCGCTGCTGGACCTTGTGTTAACAAACAAGGAGGGACTGGTGGAGGATGTGAAGGTCGGAGGTAGACTCAGCTGCAGTGACCATGAAATGGTGGAGTTCATGATCCTGCGTGGAGGAAGCAGGGCCATA